GCCTGCAGACCTGGCGAGGTGAGTGCGTGTTCGCTCCGTCCGTCGGCAGCGGTTATGGGCATAGCAGCGGGCAGGCCGGCACTGGCATTCAGAGCGTTAAAAGCATTGGCGCCGAGCGGGGGCTCCTCCCACTGGTCATATTTACCCATGAGCGCCTTTCTAATAATGGCCTCCAGCCCCAGGTTGGTGCTGGCCTGCTCGGGCAGCGCCTGGCTTCGGCAGGTCATGAGGCCTGGGGGAGAGACACACACACGGGCCGAGGGACACGCGAGCCGCTGGGCAGCGTCTCCGTGGATTTTAATCCTTCGCTCTGAGCGAACGTGAGGATACCCAGTGACCCCCGCGCGGTCCGAGAGCGAGAGACCCGTGGCCTCCGTGCCCACCTGCCAGCCTCCACATCCCGTTTCTATGGCAACCGGTGGGCAACTACGTTTTTTCTTTTCGCCGCCAGGGGGCGCCCTCTCCCACCTCCCAGCTGTGTCTTGGCCCCGGTTCATCAGCACTTTAAACACACACCAAACTGTGTCCCCCAGAAAACGCCACACTCCCAGCAGGGGCGAGCGCCCCGCACACTGAGCAAACCCCGGGAACGCGAAAACACGACTCGGAGCACGCAGGCCGGGAGGGCCGCTGGCCGGGTTCGGGCTCAGCACCCACAGGTGTCCCTGGGCCTCGTCCGAAGGTCGCGGTCCCTGAGCTGACCCTGCGGGAGGCGGCCCGTCTCCGGTTACAGCGGCGGAAGCCCTGGCACCCTGGGCACAAACATCTACAGATGCGCGCACCCGTGGCCCAGCGGCCTGTGTCAGGTTCGGGACGTTCCAGAAACACTCGTTTCTAACCCCCTTGTCCCCCAGGCACGGCAGCACATGCCCCGACTCCCCCGGCTCAGGGTCCCCGGCAGGGCCAGAGCTCAGAGACCTGCAAGCACACCACCTCCGCACACGGGCCCCCGTCCACCGAGGGTGACAGCCCCCCAGCAGCTCAGGGCTCAGACCCCTCACACCAGACCCAGCCCCACCCGGTCCTTCCCTGAAGAAACAGTGTGGCCCTGCCGGAGGACGGGGTCCAACCCCAGGGGGCCCCCGAGCCCACAGATGGCTTCAGTTTTAGCTGGAAAATGGTCGGGTGGCTCAGTGGTTGAGCGTCAACCTATGAACCAAGAGGTCATAGTTCGATTCCCGGTCGGGGCACAGGCTGGGGTTGTGGGCTCCATCCCCCGTGGGGAGCGAGCAGGAGGCAGCCGATGGATGTTTCTCTCTCTTCGACGTTCCCATCACTCTCCCTTCCTCTCTCTCCAAAAACCAATAAAAAAATACTTTTAAACATGAGTGTGAACTTCAGCCCCGTCTATGTGATACACCCACATCGCTGCTTTGACTTCCCGCCTCGAATTTTCAAGTAAAGCGGATGCTCTCACTATAAGAAGTGCCCGCACGGACCCCGAGGGAAGCCTGTGCACCCCAAGTGTGAGCCCAGGCCCCCCACACACAGTCACATTCCCTCTGGGACGTAACAGGTGAGCCGGGCAGGTTCCCAGACGGCCGTCCGCACACCTCACCCCGTCTAAACGCACCCGGGGCCTCCTCGCCAGCCTCGCTGGCCCCCCCCAGGGCTGGGTAGACAGAGGAGGGGACACCTTGGAGCTACGAGGACTCTGGTGGGGGCGGTGCCCCCCGGGACTCCAAGGCCAGGCCCGGGGCGGCTTCCTGATTTAAATTTCCAGTGGCCTGCAAAAGAGGGGGACCGGAGGGCCGCCCTGTTTAAGGAAGGGGCCGCTGGGAAATTAAGTCAAGCCGGAGCGAGGGACTAGGCACAGGGCGGGGGCGGCAGGAGGCTGGGAGAGACTCGGGGAGGATGGTGACCAGGCGGTCGGTTCCCCCCGCCCCCCCCATGCCTCTGCCCCTGGGGCCAGGACCCTCAGCCCCGTCTGCCCCCCCACAAGCTGGGCCTAACCCCCGCCCCCCACCGGGAGCCACAAGGAGAGAGAGAGAGGTGCAGAGACGAACGGTGAGGGGTCGTAGCCATGCAGTTACGGTGCGTGCGGGGGACAGGGCAGAGCTGGAGACAATGGCACGGCCGCCCGCCCCCTGGGGAAGGGCTGGGTCG